AGGACTCTCCACGTGTCGTAGAGATTATGTTCGTCTAGTAGTCTCTGGTATGTGGTGCATTGTCTCCTGGCTGGGTTGTTCCCTTTCGTATTAGGACCTTTGGACAAGTCTAACCCAGGGTCTAGAATGTGGTTAAAGTCTCCACAGATTATTAGCATTCCCCTCTGGATCGGTGCTATTTTGGCTAGTGTTTTATGCAGGAAGTTGCGTTGTTCTGAGTTGGGTGCGTACACGTTTGCTATGGTGTAGGTAATGTCATTGATTGTGCATACCAGTATGATGTATCGGCCTTCCTCGTCTATGACTAAGTCGTGTTCGGTGAATGCTACTCGGTTGCTGATTAGCACAGAGACCCCTTTCGTTTTGGATTTTGCTGTAGCGTGTTGTTGGTATGGGTATGCGAGGGGTTTAAGGAGATATGGTTTGGTGAGATGTGTCTCCTGGAGACATACTATGTCTGGTTGGGATTTTTGGAGATCGTGAAGTAATAGGTGGCGTTTGACAGGGGAATTTAGCCCCCTTACGTTGTGACTATATATCTTCATAAAGGGAGGGTCTGTGAGGGGTGCTATCTGTAACGTTGTCATCGTTAGATTTGTGTTTTCCCCGAGTGCCCTTGTATGTCTTGGTACTTGAGTCTAGTGTGATGTGTATAGGCAGTGGTGCCGTGGAGTATATACTTGCTGTGTTGCTGAGTGGCTGCTCTGGCGGATCCGCGTGAGGCACATCCGTGACGGGTCGCGTTGTTCTCCTGGCTCTCTGTGTCTGTACTGGAACGGTACGGTTATGCAGGTACATATCCTTGGATTGTCTAGTGTGGTCTGGGTAGGGGAGGGAGGATAAGAGGTTAATACAGGAAAATAGAAAAATAGAAAACAGTGCGGTAAGGACCGCAGGGCCCAAGGTGGGCTGAGTACCCAGGTTGGGTACCATGGAGGTAGGCAACAACAAAAACATTAACAAATATCTTGTGCGATTAGCCCTAGCGCTTATCTCAATAGTTCTGCATACCACGTGAAGATATAGTTATTTCAAAAACATAAACAAAAACATTGTTTTTTTTTGTGTTTTTTTTTTCTCATTAACTTAGTTCCACAGGTCTCTGTCCGGGCTACTCTCATATGAGAGGCCAATTGGTCTATGCGTCCCCAATCTTCCCTTGGGTGAGTTGAGGGGATGGGTGACCCCCATGGCAGAACTTTTTTTTTTTTTTATTAAAAAAGGGCCGCTGGCATTGAAGAGATCGTGGGAGCAGTTAACCAACTGCTGTGTATATCTGAGGTTAACTATATGTGGGTATTATTTATTTATTTATTTATTTATTTTTTTTTTATTTTTTTTTATTAGTCATAACTATGAGTAAGTTTTAAGCTAGAGGTGTCATAGGGTGTGGGGTGAAAATACCAGTTAGGGAATTCCTCAATCAGGTGGCATCGCCATTCAGTCCTGTATCTGTACTCTTTAAAACTGGATATGGGCTGATGGAGTTTGGGTTACTTCTTCGCCTTCTTCCAGTCCTGTCTCAATCGCTGTGGTGAGGTTGTGCGTCCGTGTTGTTTGCGAATTGGTAGGTCCCATTGTTTCAGGGCCCTCAGGCCTTCCTCCGGCGTTGTTACATGTGTAAAGGTGCCATTGCGCTGGATAATCAGGCGCACCGGGTGACCCCATCTGTATGGGATCTTGTTGTCCCGCAGCGTTTCCGTAGTCTCCTTGAACTCCCTTCGGCGTTGTAGGGTGGCTGCCGATAGGTCAGCATATATTTGTAGATGGCCATATTTAGCTGGAAGGTTTGTGCGGTTCCTGGCAGCTTTGAGTATGGCCTCTTTGACATGATAATAATGGAGATGGGTCAGCGTATCTCTCGCCGCCTCGGCTGGTAGAAACTTCGGTTTGGCCACCCGGTGGGCCCGGTCCAGCAGGATCATCTCAGTCGGTATTTCTGGTATTAGACACTTGAAAAAACCTGTCAGGAATTCAGGTATTTCAGCTTGCGTTATCGATTCCGGTATGCCCCGGATTCTCAGGTTCTGTCTCCGTGACCTGTCCTCCAGATCTGAGAGTTTGAGCTGGGCTGAGGTGAGTTTCTGTTCCAGGGCTTTAACGTGGTCTGTCAGGTCGTTATGGGCCTCTTCATATTCGCCCATGCGGTTTTCCACGTGGGCCGTTCTTTCGCCTAGCTCCTGGATGTCCTTGCCCATTGCAGTGACCGATGCTTGGATTTTGTTGAGCAATTTGTCGGACATTTCGTCCAGGCACGCTCTCAGGAATTCCTGTGTCACGGGGAGATTCCCAGGGTCTGGTGAATTATGGAGGGGGAGGGTATCGTCTCCGCCGCCATCTTGGTCTGCCTCATGCTGGCCCTGGGCTCTGGAAGGCGCGGGTCTCGCCGCAAAGAAGCCCGATTTTTCAGCCCTATCAGGGATTTTCTTACCCCTCTGCTGCGACATGCTTGTGGGGCGAGTGATGCCGGGTTGCGTTTCGCGGTATGCTGGGTTTAGTCGCTTCGTGGGCTAATCTAGGAGCGGAGCACTAGTGCCGTGCGACCATCCGCTTCAGCGTGCAGGCCACGCCCCCGCCCCATGTCTTTCTTATACCTGAAAACGGGTAAGAAGGCTCGCGGCACCTCCGGGGTCTACCTGGGGTATTCAGCCATACGGACCGCCACACGAGTCTTAGAGGCAGAGTTGGCAGAAATATACAGCACCTCATGGCCACCTGACCATCTCCCACAGTGCACAAACAATATGGGATGCAGATCCCAGAAACCGCAGCCGGGCCCCAGCAAAGAATTCCATGACATAGGGGAGATGCTGTGGCGACCAGGCCAGAAAACGGGGTGAACAGACCAGATTGCCAAGCAGACCCAACTGCACCTGGAGACACACTCACCTCCACGACACCCCTAGAGGCATAGGCAGACCAAGATCCACTAGCCCCTGCTACTGAACAAGGATATCGCCAACCTCTTAAGGGAGCTCAGACAGATGTCGACGGGCGACATGGACATAGTCCGTACTGAGGTGCACTCCGTGAGTGTATGTACACAGGCTACAGAGGCTGAGGTCCAAGATTTCAAGCAAGAGGTGAAAGACCAGATGCAAAGCCTACTACACTCACACACCTCCCTGACACAGAGAGTAGATCTCGCTGAAGACCGCAAGAGACATGCCAATATTAAACATTCCGCAAACAACTCTAGCCATGACTAGGCCCAGTTTACTCTCACAGTCAAAGCCCCAAGATGGCCCATGATAGCCACAATAGAGTCCGGACCCACGGGAAGGTGCCTAACTCTCCCCTCCCCCGATTCCCCCTAGGTTAGGGCACATTCTTCTACCAGTCACAATGATGCAGTCACCGATAGCCTCACATAACTCACACATACGACAACGCGACACAATATATGCTCAGGATGGACCGCTAACAGACTAGCCCACTATAGCATACAGATCAGTCTTTCATCTACCTACGAGGTACCTACACCGAACAAGTCCAACAGACATCACACATAACGCACAAACCCTACTGACACACGCATGCAGAAAAACAAAAAGTAAAAGAGGCCTGCTAATGTTGAATGTTTATAACTGTTGATGTCATACTGATATGCTTTATCTCAACGCACTATCTGAAACCGAAAAACTTGTAAACTTTCCTCAATAAAACAAAGATAAACCAAAAAAATAAAAATGGCCCTGCGCATTGAGCTTACATACTAGAGGGAGTGGGGTAGAGTGACACAAGGTAAGGGTAGGGTAGAAAAGTAGATTGTTAGAATAGTATTCACTGAAGACAATTACAGGAGAGGAATTAGGATGTGGGGGGTTGCAAGTTGAGTTTAAGGAAGTGAGCACCCATCCAGTTAGAAATAGCAGTGAGGTAATCAGAGACATGAGTAAAGATGGGGCGGTGAGAGATTGGGAAAGGACGAATAGATTTGTGTGTCATCTGCATAGAAATTATATTGGAAGCCAAAGGAGCTGGTAAGATTACAATGGGAGGCAGTGTAGATTAAGGACTGAACCTTGGCGAACACTAACAGAAAGAGGTTTGGAGGAAGAGGCAGAGCCAGAGAAAGAAACACTGAAAGAGCGCTGGGAGAGATAGGAGGAGCACCAGGAGAGATCAATTTCTTGTAGACAAACATTATGGAGGATGAGCTAATCAACAGTATCAAAAGCAGCAGAAAGGTCAAGAAGAATTAGTGACCACAACATTTTGCAGTGATTAGATCATTGGATACTTTGGTCAGAGCCGTTTCCACAGAGTGCTCAGCACAGAAACCAGACTGAAGATGGTCCATCAGAAAGTTTGATTCAAGGAAGTCTGTCAATCTTGCATATACTTAAGGATCTTGGATGCAAAAGGCAGTAGCGAGATGGGGCGGTAGTTGGATGGGAAGTTAGGGTCAAGGTTGGGCTTTTTCAGAATCGGGGTTACAGTTGCATGTTTGAATGGTGTTGGAAATATGCCAGAGGAGAGGGAGAGATTGAACATTTTAGTGAAAGGCAGAGCTAGAGAAGAAGACAGACTGTGGTAAGATGCAAAGAAATAGGATCAATGGAACAGGTGGTGGAGCGGGAAGACCGGAGGAGAGCAGAAACCTTTTCCACTGTAGTGGGTGTGAATGAACATAGAACAGCAGTGGGAGTGGAGTTTGGGGAAGTATCAGTTAGGGAAGGAGAGAGAAGAGAGATCTCTTTCCTGATTGTAGAAAACTTTTCAGTGAAATGAGTTGCAAGATTTTCAGCGGTCAAGTTGGTAGGAGAAGGAGGAGCAACAGGGCGAAGAAGAGAGTTAAAAATGTGAAATAGGCATTTGGGTTTGTGGGAAGGTGTAGTTATGAAGGTATTGAAGTAAATTCTGGAGCATTTTTGGAGATATCAGGTCAGCTTGGTGTGGCAAGGTTGTATTCGCTGTGTTTGAGTGTAGGAGAATGTCTGGCTGAGAGAAGAGGGTGGAATTGTAGAAGGAGGTTGCAGAACTAGGACAGGTGAAGTTTGAGATAGGTAAAAGGAGAGTTTGGAGGTTGTTCACAAACTCAATACAGTATATTGCTATGGGTTTTATAGCTGGGAGCACTGTGATGCACTGACACTATACATTATTGTAAATGTTATTCCCAATGGAGCCTGTGTTTATCTTACTGCTCTTGTCCACAACAAAAAAATATTTTCCAAAGCAATAATGTGTGTTTGGATATGGAGTCTGTTTGAATGTAGTATATTTGTTCTTAACTATTACAGTAGATCTTGGTGTGATTAGTGGCTCCCTCTATGTTTGATTCTGGATCTCCGCCCCCCTGTGTATAATGTCTAGACATACCACAAGAGTGCATTGAATAAACTATATTAGGTTTATTCAGGGGGGAGCCAGACAAAAGGTTTTAGCTACATCTCAAACTTCTCGGAAAGAAGAAAGGACGTGTCTGTCAATATTTCCTCTGCACTTGATAGAAACTGGCCTAATGTTCACACGCAGAATAAAAATTCTTTTAAAAAGATCTTTCACATATTTAGTATGCACATCAATAGAGGTATTTATTCAAACAGCCAGAAAATGGATGCTGTATAAAAATAAATGACAGGCATGTCAAGCCGAAAGAAAGGCCATGGAAATTACTTAGTACAGTAAGAATTTTTATGGAGGGCTTTTTTTGAGTCAGTATCTACTCACCATAGTATTTAATGAACTATAATACTAATTTATTCATCAATCACCAGCATATTCTGCAATAATGTATTATATATACAGAACCCCTTCACTACGGAGCTATTTTGAGAAACAATATAAATAGCTAGCACACAAGGAAATTTGGGGATATATTGCATTTCTATAAAAAAAAAAAAAAATTTCATTAATGTGCATGCACTTAATATTTTTAATTTATTTATCCATCCTTTGAAGAAACAGGGAAAATACGCTATTATAGATTATATATATTTCTTCTATTGAATACTAAAGTATTGTCATAAAATAACCAATGGTGTTTTTGTTTCTCTACCATAAAATATAAAACAAGTATGAAAACCATGTGTGTGGGTATATAATGAACTGCTGGCATTTTTGAGAATAGAACCCCTGTGGGTTAAAAACACTGTACCTACAGGAACTCATGATGTATATTTGGTCCTGCCAGAGATATAAAATGTATATTGCTTAAAATGTAATTTCCTACGTGCCAGGGCTACATTTCCACTCGTTAGCGGTGGGTGGAAATTTTCAGCCCTTATGCATAAATATTGATATTTCACCAACAGAGTCCCTTTTTTACTCATCTTTTTCCAGCGTCGACAACCTCTTTGTTGCTCACCTCTCCGCTTCCTGCAACTTCATCATGGAGGTGTTGCCTCCTCTGCCGATGGCCAATCCAATGCTCCTCATAGAGGACAACTGGGGACCTGATGTACATGTGCACAGGGCCGCCATCAGGGGGTGAAAACCATAACGGTTGTCATGGGCCCGGCCACGAGTAGCGGCGGAACTGTTGGTGCCTATCGGGTGGCCCACGCACTTAGGGCCACCAGATGGGCCCTATATCTTTAGGGGCCCGGTACGCGCTGCGGCCGTGCAATAGTGCGACCGGGGCCCTTTAAAAAAATCTCATCCGCAAAATACTGCTGGGAGGAAGTGGCCGTGCTGGAGGGAAGAAAGCCAAGCCGCGGGAGCCATGCCGACTTCCATCAGCCACAGCCTTCCACCTGCAAAAAGTTAAGCAAAATGAGCTGTATTTGTGTATGTTAGTATGTATGTCAGAATGTCTGTATGTATGTCAGTATGTCTGTATGTATGTCAGTATGTCTGAATGTATGTCAGAATGTCTGTATGTATGTATGTGTGTCTGTATGTATGTCAGTATGTCTGTATGTATGTCAATATGTCTGTATGTATGTCAGAATGTCTGTATGTTTGTATGTATGTGTGTCTGTATGTATGTCAGAATGTCTGTATGTTTGTATGTATGTGTGTCTGTATGTATGTCAGTATGTCTGTATGTGTGTCAGAATGTCTGTATGTATGTCAGTATGTATGTATGTATGTCTGTATGTATTTCAGAATGTCTGTATGTATGTCAGAATGTCTGTATGTCAGTATGTATGTCAGAATGTCTGTATGTATGTATGTGTGTCTGTATATATGTCAGTATGTCTGTATGCATGTCAGAATGTCTGTATGTATGTCAGTATGTCTGTATGGATGTCAGAATGTCTGTATGTATGTCAGTATGTCTGTATGGATGTCAGAATGTCTATATGTATGTCAGTATGTCTGTATGTATGTCAGAATGTCTGTATGTATGTCAGTATGGATGTATTTTATGTCAGAATGTCTGTATTTATGTCAGTATGTCTGTATGTATGTCAGAATGTCTGTATGTATGTCAGAATGTCTGTATGTGTGTCTGTATGTATGTCAGTATGTATATCATAATGTCTGTATGTATGTCAGTATGTCTGCATGTATGTCAGAATGTCTGCATGTATGTCAGTATGTCTGAATGTATGTCAGAATGTCTGTATGTATGTATGTGTGTATGTGTGTCTGTATGTATGTCAGTATGTCTGTATGTATGTCAATATGTCTGTATGTATGTCAGAATGTCAGAATGTATGTATGTGTGTCTGTATGTATGTCAGAATGTCTGTATGTCAGAATGTCTGTATGTCTGTATGTATGTCAGAATGTCTGTATGTTTGTATGTATGTGTGTCTGTATGTATGTCAGTATGTCTGTATGTGTGTCAGAATGTCTGTATGTATGTCAGTATGTATTTATGTATGTATGTCTGTATGGATGTCAGAATGTCTGTATGTATGTCAGAATGTCTGTATGTCTGTATGTATGTATGTATGTATGCATGTGTGTCTGTATGTATGTCAGTATGTCTGTATGCATGTCAGAATGTCTGTATGTATGTCAGTATGTCTGTATGGATGTCAGAATGTCTGTATGGATGTCAGTATGTCTGTATGTATGTCAGAATGTCTGTATGTATGTCAGTATGTTTGTATTTTATGTCAGAATGTCTGTATATATGTCAGTATGTCTGTATGTCTGTGTGTCTGTATGTATGTCAGAATGTCTGTATGTATGTATGTATGTGTGTCTGTATGTATGTCAGTATGTATGTATGTATGTCAGAATGTCTGTATGTACGTCAGAATGTCTGTATGTATGTGTGTGTAAGTCAGTATGTGTATGTATGCATGTCTGTCTGTGTGTATGTATCTGTATGTATTTCAATATGTATGTATATATCTGTGTCTGTCTGTTTATATATGTATGTATGTCAGTATGTGTGTGTGTGTGTGTATTTATGTCCTTATGCGTGTGTGTGCAGTGTGCATAGGAATTTGTTCATATTGTTTATTGTCCGGCCCCCAACAGTGTCTGAGGGACCGTGAACTGGCCCCTTGTTTAAAAAGTTTGAGGACCCCTGTCATTATGTATGTATGTAATTATATATGTATGCCTGTATCTATGCATGTATGTCAGTATGAATGTATGTCTGCATGTCATTATGAACGTATGTCTGTATGGATGTCAGTATGTCTGTATATATGCGTGTATGCCAGTATGAATGTATGCCATTATGAGTGTATGTCTGTGTATGTATGTGTGTATGGATGTCAGTGTCTGTATGAATGTATGTTTGTCAGTATGTCTGTATGTAAGTATATATATGTATGTATGCCAGTATGAATGAATGTATGTCTGTGTGTATGTATGTCGGTGTATGTATGTGTATGTCCTCAGGCATGTGTGTCTGTATGTATGTGTATATCTGTCACTATGTATGTATGTCTCAGTATGTGTGTGTCAGTACGTATGCCTATATGCGTGTATGTCTGTTTCAGTATGTGTGTCTGTTAGTATGTATATGTGTGTGTGTGTATATGTGTGCTTTTGTATCAGTGTGTGTTTTTGTGTCTGTGTGTTGTAACAGAGTGTTGGGGATGGTGGTCAGGGGTGTATATCTGCACCCAGACTTTTGCACAGCCACTATCCTGACATGTGGTTAAGCACATGCAGCCCCAGGGAAAGTTAAGTTTAAATGTAGGTTTTTCCCTCTGTTGTTATTTGGGTCCCTGGGGTGGAATATTCGGAAGAGCAGGGTGGGCCGATTCTCCACCCACTGTCAGAGTGGTTGTGCATGAGTCCAGCCCAGGTTTTCTAAAGAGTTCTGGCTCACTGCCTAACGAGGTCATTAGCCTCACCTGTAGGGGCTGTGAGCAGCTATATAACGGCAGTTAACCCCTTAAGGACTGGACTGTTTTTGCGATGTTGTACATTTGCGACCAGGCATATTTTTACACTTTTGTGGTGTTTGTGTTTGGCTGGAATTTTCAGCTCTCTCATTTACTGTTCCCATACAAATTATATATTGTTTTTTTCAGGACAAAAGGGGCTTTCTTTACATACCATTATTTGTATAATCTCATGTATTTTAATTTAAAAAAAATAAAAAAATCTGATGAAAAATTGAAAAAAATACATGTTTTTTGACTTTTACTTGAAAAATCTTTTACTCATCTACAAAAGCGAATTAAAAAAACTGCTAAATAGATTCAAAATTTTGTCCTGAATTTAAAAATACCCCGTGTTTACATGCTTTTTGCTTTTTTTTGCATGTTATAGGGCTATAGGTACAAGTAGAATATTGCGGTTTCAAAACATAAATTTTTTAAATTTATCAATAGTGACATTGTAACACTATTATCTGTCATAAATCTCTGAATAACACCCCACATGTACATATTTTTTTTAAAGTAGACAACCCAGGGTATTCAATCTGGGGTATGTCCAGTCTTTTTTAGTAGCCACTTAGTCGAAAACACTGGCCAAAGTTAGCATTCATATTTGTTTGTGTGTGAAAAAAGTAAAAAACTAAATTGAGCGCTAATTTTGGCCAGTGTTTGTGACTAAGTGGTTACTAAAAAAGACTGGACATACCCCATTTGCAATACCTTGGGTTGTCTTATTTTGCAAATGGTATGCCATCATGGGGGTAATTCTCATTCCTGGGCTGCCATAAAGCTCTCAAAGAGCAGCGGCTGACAGCACAAGCCCATTTTCAATTATTTAAAACCAAACTGACCCTTTATACTTACGACCGCGCGGCTTTCAAAATACTTGCCGAGCGCCGCGCGGCGGGGAGTGCGGTTTTGCATAGGGAACTTTGCGCGAACACAAATATTAGTGTTTAAAACTGGAGAAGGCAATATCACAACATTTATATCATCCAGTAAAGAGATGCTGTTTTGTGGCTGAAAATGCACAAAAAGTCACTTTCACTGACAATATCGATATGTTTTGCACCTGTTTACGAATCATAATATTTGTGTTCAATCGGCTAATTTTATATGGAATTTAAATTATCGTCACAGCCCACGATATTATCGGCCGATATTTGGTATTTTCGGCAATGTCGGTATCGGCCAATTCAGATACCGATATTGCCGATAATATATAACAGGACCGCCGTGCCCATTACAAGCCCGGCGGTCCTGTGGGGGCCAGCAGCAAACGCTGACTTACCTTGCATGCAGCTCCTACAGCTCTCTGTGTAAATCTCGCGAGACCCGCGGCCGCAGAGCGTTGCCACGGGTTACCATGGCAACGCTCCGCGCGGCACTAAGAGCCGCGAGATTTACATAGGGAGCTGTAGGAGCTGCTTGCAAGGTAAGTCAGCGTTTGCTGCTGCTGAGCCACCACTGTACTTAACAAGCCACTGGACCACCAGGGGATACTATATCCCCCTCCCTGGTAAGAAGCAGGGAGGGGGGACTAAACAAAAAATAAAAAAAACATTTCAATATTAAAAAAAATATTAAAATAAAAAATTACACAAATTACATCACTACACACACACACTGCACACATACTGCATTACATACACACTACACAAACACACACTGGGGGGAGACTAAACAAAAAAAAACATTTAAATATTATAAAAAATATTAAAATTAAAAATTACACAAATTACATCACTACACAAACACACACACACACTACACAAACACACACTGCACACATACTGCATTACATACACACACACTGCATTACATACACACTACACAGGCACACACACTGCATTACATACACACACTACACAGACACACTACACACACACCACAAACACACACTGCACACATACTGCATTACAGACACACACTGCACACACTACACTGCACACACACTGCATTACATACACACACAGTACACATACTGCATTACATACACACTACACAGACACACACACTGCATTACATACACACTACACAAACACTACACAAACACACACTGCATTACATACATACACACTACACAAACACACACACTGCATTACATACACACAAAAACACACTGCATTATACACACACTACATAAACACACTGCATTATATACACACTACACACACTGCATTATATACACACACTCTGCATCCACTACACACACACACTACACAAACAAACACAGTTCCCCTGTCTAAACACACTTCATCCACTACATGTGGCATGTATATTTTGTGCATTTACCTTTCGAATTAGTTTATTTATTCAAAATAGTAAATGTACAGAATATCGGCAAGATATCGGCTATCGGCCTGAAAGTTCGCAGATTATCGGTATCGGTATCGGCTCTAAAAAATCAATATCGGTCGATCCCTAGTTTTAGGGTGTCGTAGAACGTTACAGGGTAATATACAGTGCTAGCAAATTCAATTCTCTGGAATTTCAGCCTGGGTTGGCAGGCAGGTCCCTTAAATTGCAATCAATAAAATTACTGAATTATGTAAAACTATTACATAAATACGCACGTAGAATTTAAATATATATGCATATTTATATATCTGAAGTCTACATGTATATTTATATAATTATTTATGTAATTTTGTATATGGACATATGTATATTTCTTATTATTTTTATTTATTTTTATATACATAGATATATATACAAATTCATTTTAAGTGTATTTTGATATAAATATATATATATTAATTTTAAAATACAGTTAGAATAAAATTTCATATAGCTATATAATTTTTTTTTAATTTTTTATTATTATTTAAAAAATTTTTTATTTAATTTAAATTATTTATTATTTATATTTTATAATAATATATATATACAATATATATAGTTATTATATATATTATATATATACGTGTGTAATTTAATTATAAGTGTATTTTTATATTAATATAAGTACATATTAATATAAAAATACACTTAGTATGGCATTATATATATATAATATATAGACATATATTAGATATAATATATGTCTATATATCATATATACACATATATAATTATTATTTTTTTTTAAATTAACATTAACTTTATTTTATTTTTTGATTTTACACTAGCAGGGAGACTGCCTGTCAGCACAGACAGTCCCCCTGCAGGCAGCACTATGGACACCTATTGTGACCATGTGATCGTTCTGTTAAGCGATCACATGGCCACAGGGGTCCTAATTCAGTGTGGGGAGACTGTCTGGGCAGCAGGCAGTCTCCCCACAACCGGAGCCACGCTGATCGCCGCCGGGGGAACGACGGTGATCAGGTAAGTAACGGAGACCGTTAGGACGGTTCAGGACCGTCATCGGTCCTCAAGGCAAAAATGCTGATGACGGTCCTGAACCGTCCTGGGTCGCTAAGGGGTTAAAGCAGGGTGACGTGAGGGAAGTGTTTTGAGGAGAAAGAAGGTGTTTTGTGGAGAAAGAAGGTTTGCTGTTTATTGTATCCTGTTACTTCATAACAACCGAAAATAAACAGGCCAGAGGCCTTTTTGAAACTGGACTTTGTCTTGACCTGGTTTTCTTACCCTACAGGGCTGTGCGGTTGCGAAAAGATCCTGGACAAACACACACAGGAAAGTAAGTTTGTCACAGTGTGTATTCCTGTGGGCGGGATTTGGAGGCGGACCCTGTGGGTGGGATTGGAGGCGGGCCCCAGGGGGCCCAGACCCGGAGCTTAGTTAGGGGCCCCAAAATGTGCAGCAAGTGTTGCGAGTGCATCCAGTCGTTTTCATAGTAAACATAGAATTCAATGCATTCCTAAGAGCTGCAGAGTCATGGGACCAAGTTTTACTCAGTCAATGCAGTGGAAGTGTCTCTAGTGGCTCTCTGTAAGACAGCTACTAGAGGCGTGCAGGGCCGTCTTTAATATCGATTGGACCCTGGGCAAGCATTTGCTTGGGCGCCCTGGTCCCTGCTCCCCTCCCCACTCCCTGGCATGAAATCACGCCATCCACCCCAATGCAGTGGCGGAACTAAAGTAGAAAGAGCCCTGGTGCAAGAAAGGTTGGCCAAAAGGTAGATGCCTATCTGTCGTGCAACTCCAATAATGCTTGGACAGTAGTGATGTCCCGAACGGCGAACATATGCGGTAAACTTTG